ATCATACATTAAAGTTCTTTTGCTGCTAAGGCAACGAAATCTACTTTTTAATAATCCGAAACAATACTCAATGCAATTTCTCGCCTTTCGATGTTGCACATTATAATTGTTATGTGCCGTCGATAAATTATTTCCTCGAACAGGTGTCATCAAAAAGGGTAAGAGGGGATAACCGCTATCTCCTAAAAACAAAAACAGAATTGCACCAATTACCCCTGGAAACCGAAACTTTTTATAAAATCTGCAAATAATTGTCGATTAACTACATTGTATTTTAACACAAGATTTCGAAGATATACAACTCTTTTATAGCGCATAATTCCTGAATTGTTCTGGACCATTTGATGTACTTTACTACAAAATACCGATTCATTATATTTGCAACCTCCTTAACGCATCTTCTAACAACTGCCTGAGAAACATTTAGTTATTTCTGCCAAGAAAAACTTACTTAAATATTTCGAAAGACGAAATATTTTAATAAACACGCATCAGATATAGCGAAGGGGTCTGTAGAATTCCGCAAACATTTTCTTTTCCAACGTAAATGATTCCGTGAATCTCTTACATCATCAGAAAAAAAAAAAATCGAATGCACCTTCTTATCAAAAAATCGAATGCACAATCGCTAATTCTCCTAAAATAAGCGAATCGCTTATTTAAGAATTTTAGGGAAGATATTGGAGTTTTAGCAGATTACGCTCTTTACACAAATCTTTATGGATCAGCTTTGTGTAACGCTAAGAAGATAAAGAAAAGAAACTGAGAGAAAATTTCGCAAAAAAATCTCTCTAACTTATTCACCACACCAGAATTGTCATATATTAAAATCGGAGTTATTAGAAAATCCATTGTATATATTAATTTCATTTTAATGACTAAGTATAGGTAGAATATTTTATATTAGTTTTACTTCAATTTATATATAAATTTTAAATTTGCTATATAGGTAAACTAAAGTCAGCAGTCAATAATTATTATTGATGTAAGTAAATATATAAAATTAGTCATGAAAGTGTTTTGAAGATAAATAGTTGAAAAATAATATTATATTAATAGTTGAAAAATAATAATATTTGCTAAAATAAAAGTTTTTTTTATCATGTTGCACATATTCGTATTTAAATATATGTTGCTCAAAAAATATATTTATAGCAAAAGATAGCATCTAATAGAGAAGTTAGTAAGTGTACATACGTTTCGAGTTTTAGGTTACATTATTTTAATCTTCTGTTTTAAAACGATGAATAATTACATTTTCTAAAGTGTTTCTAATTAAAATTCAATTTCGCTTTTTTTTTATTTAATATATAAATATTTTATTTAATATATAACATTACAATTTCATCCGTGCAATAAATGACTTAATTTATTTCTCCAAATGATTGCTAAAGACTGATTCTTGATTTTTATGAAGAATGACTGAAGTCATTTCAGAAATTGTAAAATCGGATTAGACCAATTTGATTCCAGCTTCTAAAATTCTTAAGAATTTTCTGGAAGCTTCTTTTTCTCCATCCTATAGGATTGGAGCTTCTATTTTCTAAAGCGCCTCGTAAGTGTCTTTAGCTTTGGCGTCAGTAGCCAGTTGACGAAATTAATATCCAATAGTATTTGGACATCTCTTCGATCAAGTATTTAAAATGATACTTGATATGTTTTCTGTAAGATACTTGCAGTTCCTAAAGAAAACATTTTGCAACAATGTTGCCATAAGAAGTATAGGCATTAAGCCAGAATGTGTTTAGATAAGCAAACGTGCGTAGGCGTCGTGAGATATTTTAAGGCGCAATAGCTAGGTACATATTCTGAAGATACAAAAATGTAAAACGATGGCGCAGTGCCGTTATGTTATTTTAGGGTTTAAAGGTTTTAGGATTTTTAATGTCAGAAAACCAAAACAGACAACGAAATTTCTCAGAAAGTGCTCTTATTTTAGCAAATATTGTGGTGAGTAGAGACCGAGTGGATCGGGTAGGGAAAATGATCATGCGCCATTGTGTAGCATTGGGCTTTTTGTTTTTGTACTGGGTGATACTTTCACCTCATTACACAAAATTTTGAATATTATTTGAATAAGTCAGAAAATTTTATAGACAATTTTTCGAACACCTCGCAGTTTCTTTTCATTATCTTCTTTGGTGATTGGTTGAATAATAAAAAATTATTCGTGTAATTTTTTTTATTTGCCTCACTATTTTTGCATCTTAAAACACAATTAACAAGGATCCACAGATGGATACGTAAATATGAAAAACATGTTTCAATAAAAATAGTGAAAATATAAAAAATATATTCGAAATAGATCTTTAAGCGCAAATTGTTTTGAATATTTGGCAGCGAATATTTCACTATTCGATAATTATATTCATCAATATACACATAGTAGGAAAAGTCTGCGTTCGCCCACAAAATTTTTCTTAAATTTCGCATAACTGTTTTTATTTTTACATAAATTAGTTTTTGTTTTCTGATTTATTTTAACCAAAGAAACAGCACTTAAGTTCTAATATAAAAAAATACCGGTTATTTTAAAAAAAAAATTAAACATAATTTAATTGTTGCAAAAGCAACAATTTTAAATCAGAAAAAGTCTACGTTGACTTCTTAATATTTAGATTTACTGTTAATTTAAATTCGCTTGCAAGCATAAATGTGTCTTAATATATGATATTTAATTATCAGTTGTCTTCCTAAAGAGTCTAAGAATAAATCATTTAAAAATATTTTTTTATATAAACAGTAATTTTTTACAATGGAACATAAAAGACTTGGAATTAATGTTATTGACCGACAAATAACTGTTCAATTTTGAGAAGATGACGTGAGCCAACGAAAAATTGCTGAAGATATCATCAATATTCATCTGTGCAGAGAATTATAAATAACTTCAAGGAGACGAGTACTTGCGTTTCTAAACCTCGCACTGGCTGTCCCTCAATTCTGATAGAGAAAGACGTTGCATAATCAACCCGGTAAAAGTAAATCCAAGAGTAACAGTCTCCAAACTAGCTGAAAATATTGCCGAAATACTGAAAAACAAAATATGCCCTGATACTAGGCGGAAAATTTTTAAGAAATGCAAGTATTATACCCGGGTTGCAAGAATGAACCATACATATCCAGATATAATAGAATAAAATGATTAAGCTTTGTAAAAAAGCATATAAATAAAGCCATGGAGTTCTGAAAATTTGTTATTTTCTTCGATGTGAGTTAATTTTGCATATTTGGAATCAAAGGTAGAAAACTTGTGTAGAGAAAATCATGTACAGCCTATAATAAACAAAACTTAATTTTAGCAGTGAAATACAGTGGAGGTGGAGGTACAATGGTTTTTGGGTGTATAGCAAGTAATAGTGCAGGCAAACTTGAATTTATACAGCATACAATGGATAAAAATTGGTATCAAAATATAATAAAAACAAATTTGAAAGAAAATGTCAGGATATTAGAGCGTGAGGCTACCTTTTTGTTTCAGCAGGACAACGACTCGAAGCATATAAAAGCGAGCGTACAGATTTAGCTGTTGAACCATGCTTTCAGGCAATTTCGAACACTATCAGAATCACCAGCCCTTAGTCTTATAGAAGATCTATACGTTTATTTGGAAAAAAAGATTTGTCAGCGCACAATTTCCAGCAAGGATATGTTAAGAAACGTTATCATGAAAGGATTATTATTCTCAAAACCTTATTGGAGATTGTTTTTAAGTGTTAAGTGCTTTACCCCTATACATTTATGTATGGATATGGATATTTTGCTCTCCTTATCTGTTTATCTTACTATATAAATTTGTATTTCAGATTTTTTTTAAATTAAAATTAATTGCATAACCAGCCCATTGTAATGGGGATATGATGTTAATATATATATGTATTATATATCATATATATAATACACAAGACGATATATTAAACATATGTTGGAGTTTTAAATTATTGAGATCCAAAGTACATTTACATATTTATTTAAAACATATATATGCCACACATGATGAAATTTAAAATTCGTTTAATTTAATTTAATTCCATGTGTCACCTTCATAAAATTTAAAATATTTTCAGTTTTGTTGATATAAATTTTCTTCATTTTTTTGTTTTTATTTTCTAACAAACTGCTATTAAGATAATTATGAAATGTATGTGCCTTTATTTATGGCGGAATATAACTTATTGAATATTATTGTTTGGTTTTAATCATCCATTGGATTTTCACCTTTATTTCGCTTGTCTTGACTTTCAGTCCATGCTTTGGCAATCATCTGCTTGACCTTGCTATCACCACTATTGTACATTTTTTTCATGATGCCAACCAATGCATCTTCATTCGAATCCGTATCAGCCTTCATTTCTTCATCTTTTTTTTCCTGCAAACGTTTGTGAATTGTGGTGAGATATTCCCATTTAACATTTTCTTTCTTCTTTTTCATATAAATAGCAACCATTCCAGTTTTTATCTTACGGTAGCTCTTTTCCACGTCAATTGACGATAGAAGATTGTTTATTACAAGATTATAATCTTTGTTGTCCAAATTGCTCACAAGCAAAGTAACTGAGTTCTCATTGAAAGTAACGTTTACATTAGATTCCTCTACCTTTTGTATGCCGTCTAATGTAACAAATAATTGGACGAACTTCTCACTTTGGTCCCACGCATATTCATTCAGTTCCTTCAGATATCTATTGAAATAGTTAAATTAAAAAACTTCAGAATATTCATTTATTTTGCAAAGCACTAAGTTATATGACTGATATTCTAGAGATTCCAAGCAATATACAATTACTCAAATATTTTATCTAAAAATCTATAACATTAAAAGTATTTTACCTTTTTGGTGTGTGCTCACCACTCTCTGCTTTCTGATCAGTAGAAAGACGTTCTTTGATTTCCAAATTAACAACTTCTTTGTCAACCTCTGCTTTTGCCTTAATTAAAATATCCTTGCATTTTTGCCGAGATGCGTAACCTAACAAAAGTGTTAACTCTGCAGAGTCTTTTTTTAGCTAATTTGGAAAATTAGTATATATTAAATGAAAAATAAATATTTAATAATGTCATAACTTACCTCTTCTAGTGACATCGTCTGTCGCTTAATCATTGATTTCTAGCACAAAACCACAAATCCCACTTAGCTACTTACAGCTTCGAGATGTTTCCTCAACTTGTGTTTTTTTGCTTTTTTGTGTTAAAAATGCGGCACACAAAATGTCACATTTACGACATTGCCAGACTGTATCAAGGATTTTGTAATTATTTAAATAAATTCACTTATCGATTACAGTTTTCGAATACAAATTATATACTGAAGGAAAACAAAGCGTGTTATTTTGATATATTTCACTAGAGAGGTAAAATTTTTGAAAATATATCAAAACAGCGCCTAAATTAGCCGTGTTTGTTAATTAGTATGTATGTATGTATTATGTAGCATCGTCCAAATCACGCTTTTTAATATGAAACATTGCGTTTATTTTCTGTAAAATAAATAGAAATCAAATACATGAAATCCTGCTAAAATTATTGCAATATAATTTTCTTAGAAGTTTTTAATCATTACCAAATACTTGCTGTTATTTGTTATAATATTTTAATAAATTTTATTTCTTGGGGTGACAAATAAACATACATACACAAACATGCAACGTTGAGATGGTTATTACAATTTAAATTTCGGGATAGATCGCACGATGGGTCAAAAGGCTGCAAAATTATAACTTCGGAATAATACGCCGAAAAGGTATTCAACACGGAAAGGCTGACGCGTTATCGCGTGCATAATTGCACCTATACTCTTTATACTATATCTCTTTATATTCATTAATATTAATGAGTTCAAAAGTTAAACGTTTACATTATCATAATTTATTGTTGATGAGCCGTATATTGTGCCGTTATGCCCAATACACCTTTGCAAAGGGAGTTTTTGAGGATATTTTCTCCTTTGTTGGCCATAATTCATTTTCTTTAAATATTATTCCAAATTAGTAGATCAAATATATCTTCTAGTTGACAGCTTCTAACATTAGTTGGGTTCCAATCTTCTTCTGATTGTAGACTTGTCAAGCGAATATCGACTATTCCTTCCTTTGATTCATTTTTCGGGTATTTTCTGCACTCTAGCTGACAGAATCTTCGCGATAACGCGTCAGCCTTTCCGTGTTGAATACCTTTTCGGTGTATTATTCCGAAGTTATAATTTTGCAGCCTTTTGACCCATCGTGCGATCTATCCTGAACGTTAAATTGTAATAACCATCTCAACGTTGCATGTTGTCGCCACTGTTATTCAATGTATACTCAGAAAAAATATTAGAAGAATCCATTAGCGATATTCAACATGGTGTGAAAGTAAACGGTGTTTTCATCAACAACATCAGATACGCAGATGACACCGCTCTTATTGCCGACAGTCTAAGCGGTCTACAATAGCTAGTAAACAGGGTTAATACTAACAATAAGTGCTACGAATAAACATAAATAAAACAAAATATATGATTGTAAGCCGAAAAAATATTTACAGCAACACAAATTTAATGATTAACAATATTGCTATAGAAAGAGTAGAACATTTTAAATATCTTGGATGCTATATAAATGAAAACTGAAATTATTCCAAAGAGATTAAGTGTCGAATAGAAATAGCACGTAATACTTTTCTTAAATACATAAATGTTCTTAACAATCATGAACTCAATATTGAAACTAAAATCCGTTTTGTAAAAAGCTATGTCTGGTCTATACTTCTACCATATACGCCATGGAAACCTGGACTTTGAAAATTACTGATATTAACAAGCTCGAAGCATTTCAGTTATGGATATTTCGGGGAATTCTGAAAATGCCATGGACAGATCATGTTACAAATAATGAAGTATTACTAAGAATGTCATGTGATCGCGAATTGTTAACAACTATGAAAAGAAGAAAAACAGCCTATCTAGGACATGTTATGAGAAATTCGAAGTATGAGCTACTCCAAATGATTATTCAGGGAAAAATCGAAGGCAAATGCGGTATTGGCAACAATAATCATGGCTGTTATGTTATGTTTATGTTATGTTATGTTATGTTATGTTATGTTATGTTATGTTATGTTATGTTATGTTATGTTATGTTATGTTATGTTATGTTATGTTATGTTATGTTATGTTATGTTATGTTATGTTATGTTATGTTATGTTATGTTATGTTATGTTATGTTATGTTATGTTATGTTATGTTATGTTATGTTATGTTATGTTATGTTATGTTATGTTATGTTATGTTATGTTATGTTATGTTTATGTTATGTTTATGTTATGTTATGTTATTGTTATGTTATGTTATGTTATTTTATTTTATTTTATTTTATGTTATTGTATGTTATGTTATGTTATGTTATGTTATGTTATGTTATGTTATGTTATGTTATGTTATGTTATGTTATGTTATGTTATGATATGTTATGTTATGTTATGTTATGTTATGATATGTTACGTTATGTGATGCATTGGTAAGTCAACCACGTGATGGCATGTTCACACAAATCTAAATTTTTTTGATATTGAGAGCCTTTTGCACTAAAACCCAAAATTGAAGTAGAGTTAAAGAAATTAGAAAAAGACACATTAGTGCCTATTATGGGTTGTCGATCGCTGATAGACAATAGAAAAGTTTCTACTGATGATAGATAAAATCAAATTTTGGTGTTTTGAATTGCAAACCTATAGAAGTTTTTCTATCAGCGGTAGATAAATTTCTCTATTGCATTTGAACAGTAGAAGTTTGTCGATCGTATAAAATAATGCTGAATGCTAAAATAAATACAGTCAATTTAACATATAAATTTAATATAACTTTAATATTACTAATTTAATAGTTAGTAATAATTCATTTAGATTTAATATAATATAATATATTATTTAATATATCTGATTTCGAGTGTAATGTGTTTTATGTATATTGAGTATAACGATTGTTGCATTTTTTTGTTTTATTATTTATTTATGTATATTTATTCAAATATTTTCAATATGTGTTTATATAAAATTAAGAAATAATAAAATTCTACATATTATAAAATTAATAAATTTTGTTGTAGGGCAAAATTGATGAGCAATAAAAAGCAGAAAGCAAAACTTTTTGCAAATATGGAGAAATATCCAGACATTGCGAAACGCATTTGCAAGAAGTCACATTCCAGAACACCGTGGGAGAAAATTGCGATAGAGCTTAATAGTTTAGGCGCCTAGAAAATATTGAAAACATTTCAGTGAAGGGAGGCAAGAGTGTTGTGACTAAAAACTTACTGTAATACAAGAAAAATTAAAATTGGCTATCGAAATACCGACAAAAGATATAAATATCAGTCCATTAAGCTTCAACTGCTTAAAAAAATATGGATTTTACTAATTTAATTTAATTTAATATACATATAATGTAAATATAACTACAAATTATAAAAATATTAAAATTAAAACTAATATAAATATATTTATTTTTAGAATATTAAAGTTTAATTTTAATATATTACTAGTTTATTAATGTAATGTAATACTAAATAATAATTTCGTATTGATAAAATATATTTTTATTTATTTTAATAAGAGTTTGAATTCAATTTTAATGTTTCTTAGCGAACACAAATCAAACAAAATAACAAAATGGGTTCGATTAAAACTGCACGCTCTAAAACCCTGATATCATTCACAATAGTGCACATGTTTGTCTATCAAGTTTCATAGTACCAAATTTGCTTACCAATCGACTCAGTAGATAAAAGTCTATCGTCTATCGGTAGAAGTTTTTAGAGCGTGTAGCTTTAATCGAACTTATTTTGTTATTTTGTTTGTATTGTATTCGCTTAGAAACATTAAAATTGAATTCAAATTCTTTTTAAAATAAATAAAAATATATTTTATTAATACGAAATTATTATTTAATATTACATTACATTAACAAACTAAAGTAATATATTAAATTTAAAAATAAATATGTTTATATATATATTAATTTTAATATTTTTATAATTTGTAGTTATATTTACATTACATGTATATTAAATAAAATTAGTAATATCCATATTTTAAGTAATTGAAGCTTAAGGAACCGATATTTATGTCTTCTGTCGGTATTTTCGATAGCCAATTTTAAGTTTTCTTGTATAACAGTAAGTTTTTGGTCATAATACTTTTGCCTCCCTTCTCTAAAATGTTTTCAATATTTTCTAGGCGCCTAGACTATTAAGCTAGTAAGTTACATCGGAATTTTCTCCCACGTTGTTGCAAATGCTTTTCGCAATGTCTGGATATTTCTCCATATTTGCAACAAGTTCTGGTTTCTTCTTTTTATTGCTCATCAGTTTTATTAATTTTACTATATCTTAATTTTATATAAACACATTATTCGTTGAAAAATATATCTTATACTATGTTTCCACTACGTACTTAGTAAGTCATATAGTAACATAGAGCTTTTCGCGTTCACATTATCATGAGTTACTTAAGGAATGGGAAAGAGCTTTTATGTGTCAAAAAGTTCTAGTTTTAGAGCTTTTCTGTGTTTACATTTTAATTGTAAACAGAAGATATTAAATGTTGTATTGTTAGAAGAAAATAAATCAGCATGGAAGAAAACGCAGCAAATTTGAAGAATTTAATATATAATGTTTGTAATGTTGTTCACAATATAAAAGCGGCAGTTGCTGCATATACAAAAGAACACACAATTATTTTTAAAAAAATTAAAAATAATTCAAAATCAACAAATGACAATGCTTTCTTCAATGATTACTACAAACCAAAGGAAGTGCTGGACTTCTGGTAAATACGGGCAGTAAATATTATTAAATAACGAATAAAATTTTACTGAGTTGGTATTTTAGATAAAAATGTAATCCGTATGTCGGTTCTGAGAAGACAACAGAGGGCTTCAAAATAAGTTTGAACACTAAACAACCACAATCCAAATAGAAAAGAAATACGGCGATGTTTGGAACATTTTTTCAGTAAGTTTTATTTTAACTAATAGCTAATAATAACACTAATAACTTATAAATTAAAAATAAAAACAACAAAAAATATATATTTATATATTTCATATAATTAGATTTTACATAATTATAAAATTTATAAAAGATTTATATTATTACATTTATAATTTTAATGATTTATAATATATAAAAAATAAAAATAAAAAAATATAGTCAGTTATCATTGATTTTTCTTTTCTTTGTAGGTGCGTTCTTTTTTGACTTCAAATATGTTGACGATAATGTTGACGACGCTGGCAGTAACGGTAAGGATGACTATCAGAAATTAATACGAAGGTGTTGTCAATAGGTAAATTCTTCAAAATTCTATACACGATATTGACAAACTTCCACGATGACGGGACCTCCGTTGAAAACCACAATACATTGCTGATCCTTACTATTTTAAAATAAAAGAGAAAAGTTAACATAATACTTAATAACATATATTATTCATTATACTTTATTAATTATTAAATAAAACATCAAATATTAATCGTAAAGGATTATGTAGTTCTAATTACCAAAAAGTAATGATATAATAGAAATTTCTGAAGTGCACTTTCGTTTGCACTTCGTGCGCGGTTCCCATATAATATCTTTCACCTTTTTCATCGAAGAAGATTTCCCTCTCATAGTTCTATAGTTCCACACGCATTCCGGGTAATTTTTTTTTTGTTTTACATTAAACACAATTTTAAATTTATAAATCAAACTTGTGAGATCTCAATTATTGCTTTCCTGATGTTAACCTGAAATAAATATTTTTTATTAAATAGTATATGAAATTTTATAATTATATCAAATAATAAAACTAATTTTTATGTATTAATTATATGTTTTATTTATAAAAAAACAAATGTTTAAAAAAAATTCTTACCTGTTGTTTGTTTTGAATTTTGATTGTTTGTTTATGTTAACATTTTGTTTCATGTGTCAAATATGTCAAATTTAGATCATTTCCAATGTTGCATTCGTAATATTTGGTATAATTTTGGTCGAATTTTGTTTACTATATTTTATAATAAATGAAAAAGCACGGAAGCTCTTTGTATGGTTAATGCAATTTACTCAGTAAATGAAGCTTTCTAAGTACCTAGTGGAAACGTACTATAGGAAATTTGAAAAATACTTGCTTGTATGTAAAAATATTTGAATAAACACACATAAACAAATAACAAAACAAAAAAATGCAACAATAGTTATACTCAATATACATATAACACATCACACTCGAAATCAGATATATTATATAATATATTATACTAAGTGACCCCGCGAACTTCGTACCGCATAACAGTCAATGAATGTTATATTAGATTTTAGATTCATCAGCGATCGAATTTTGTGCTTGAATACACGTGCAGTGATGTCGTGCCGATCATTTGATATCTGTCCAGGAAGCAGCACTTGAACAATTTCTTTCCATTTTGGATTACACGAACTAATTTTCTTTGTAGTTTCCTCACCTGATTTAAAAACAGTAAAATTAGTATTCTACAAGTAAGACTCACGTCTGTATTCTGAATTGAAAACTATGATGTTGATTCCCACCATTCAATGGGTTTATCATTTTTATATTGAAGTGATATCCATCATCTTCTTGCCAAAACATCAGTGGGTATTGCAACGTGTCATATGAACGGTGTGTTTCACATACTTGTTGCAGTTGCCCAGTACCGCGACGTGTAAGCACAATATCGCGTGTGTTCAAGTTTTCTCCAACGATCAGGATTACAACTTCATCTGTTGTTGGAGCGTTAAATTTGCGTTCATGTGTTTCTGCTGGTCGTTTATCCGCTCTGATTACAACTTTTTAGTTATCATTTGTGCTCTCACTTCAACTATTGCTTACGAAGTCTTTGAAGTCTTCGAAGTTTTTCACTGCACTTAAACTTCGAGAACAAAAATTTGCAAAAAAACGAATTTATTTCCAACTTCGAAGACTTCGTTGAAATACGAATAATCGAAGAACTTAGAACTACAGCGGATTTAATCAAAAATCAATGTCTCAAACGGCTGGAATTGAAACGTAGTACCTTCAATATATATACGTAGTACCGATTCTTAAATATGACAAGTGGGCATGTACTGTGCTAAACTAGACTTAAGTGAATAGTTTAAACTTTCCGACTAATGTAGTGAGTTTCATGTAAAAGTGTTTGCTGTTAGAAAAGCGACATGACTTGTTTACTTGAAGTTAACAATTAACTTTACAAATAATTTTTTTTTAGACAACGTATATCTTCATCTTGCACACGGCTTTCTCGAAAACTTGAATAAAATTCTTATTAGTTATCAGTTTTGAGGGTCTTAATTCCGTCTCTGATGTTTGAATGAACTAACTCGTAAAATGACGCAGTCATCTTCAGCAATGCATACTATCACTAACATAAAAGCCCCTAATCTGATGTCGCTACCGACTTATCAGGTCTATGCGTAGTCTCAGCCCTTGCGTGCCCTTGTTTTTAATTTTTTAAGAATTTTATTTAGAAAATAAATTTCTTAGATGTATTGATTAAAATAAAAAATAAACTTTCTGAGTTATGATTTAAGTGTATTATAGACTACGTTTTTATAAGTCAAACATATCAGAATGTGTGTTTGTTTGGAATTCCCACTGTAAACTTTAAGCACAAATTACTTACATATTATATATATATATTTATATATTACATATATATTTGAATATATAATTACATACATATATATACGGTAATTTAAGAAAAATTTCTATAGCAACTGAAGAAGTGAGTGTGTGCAAAAATCTTGTCAAAGTCTATTCAGTGTAAGCGAGTTAATTTCAATTATAAGGGTTTTCAGCAGGTTTTAAGTATGGCAAAAACAGCAAGTTGTTTACTATAGGCGCTAAGCGAGATATTGGCATTACCATTACTGTTTCAAACTGTCAAATGCTATGTTTTCCCAAAGAGCAAATGTTGTATACATATGTGCACATAATGCAAGCAAACCACATTTTGTATATAAATATATAATTAATATAAAATTAAAATAAATAATGAACTACAACAAAATTAATATTAGTTTAGAATATTTATGCCTTGATAAATATAATTTTGTTAGCAACTAATAAGTCAAAGAATTGAAATCGCCTTTCAATTTTGTATATATTTATGTCTATATTTTTGAAATATTTATTTTACACAATTTTGCATATTTTTAAAATATTTTATTTTCACAATTATGGAATTTGTGAAGTTTATAATTTTGTTTGAATTTCAATATTTTGTATTTATTCTTACGTTGAACTTGTGATTATGTGATTGGTGGTATTTTTATTCCGAATAAATAAAAGTAAAAGTTAATATTAGGTCTGTTCCACGAGCCATTCGTAGTAATTTTGAGTAACTCTGTGTATACTCGTACACCAGTGCATTTCACCAGCAAATTTTCGAGTACATGAGAGTATCTGAGAGAGCATAACACCCCTGTCGAAATTTGAAAATTCTACACAGACTTTACTCGTACATTTTATATCTTTTCCACGAGCTACTCGTAGTAACTTTAAGTAACACTGTGTATACAGAACTGTGTTCCATCAGCAAATTTTTGTGTATATTCGTGTAAATTTTACTTGTGTTTTACTACGCGTAGCTCGTGGAACAGGCCTATTATGTCTAGGTGTTTTAATTTTAATTATTGTTATCTAGTTTAAGGCTGATTTCGTTATCGTAGACGTAGTGGACGTAGAGAATTTAAACGCTAGAATGCTTAAAAAATAATTATTTTTGACACACAATGCAAAAGAAATTAAAAACTTAAACAGCGCAAGTTCAACTTGATCATCACTTATTTTACCCATAAAGAAATGCAATGTAATACTTTAACATTTTGATTATTAGTTAAAATTGTCAAAAATCTAACTTCTGAATTCTAAAAGCAGAAATATAGATTCACACGACATGTTATTGTAATTTGATTGTAAGAGTTATTGTATGCCCACACATTTTGTGTACTTTCACTAAATATTTACCGTGCATTTACCATGCATTTACCGTGCATATATACATATAATAGTAGTTTTCTTTCATTTTGTAAAAAAGTTTTATTCATTCTTCAATGTTATATAAAAACAAATGTTCCTTAATTTCTATCCGTATATAATAAAAATAAAATATAGCGCTTATATTAATATCCCACCTCAAAGTAATTTTGCAAAGGTAAATTTTGTCTTCTTTAATATTTTAAAAATTCTACATTGCAATCCATGTTTAGTTATCTGCTACTTAAATACGAAAGAGTATTCAATTTTTGTGATATCTGATTAGTTATCAGCTGTTTCTTCACACTACACTCACACTTTTAAACATATTAAAAACAAAAACATTTGTTGAGTTTTGTGTTCAGTTGATGTTGTGACTTTGGTGTCGGTAGTGGTGTTTCGGGGTTCTGACGATTGTTTGTGTTTAATTTTGTGGCGTATTCAAATGGTTCTCTAATTTTAAATTGAAATTTATTTGAAAGAAAATCATAGTGAAAATAAAAATGTGTATACAAGATCTAATAAAAATGAAATAGTCAATTTAAATATTTTATAATTCATTTTTTATAGGAAATGTTTTAAAAATATTTAAATTCTCGATTAAAATTTATTTAAAATTATAATAATGAAGCAAACAATTCTAAACATTTGATTCGGGTCTTTTATTAATCGAATTGAGAAGAAAACTAAATACGAACGCAAGAACTTGGAAACCACTGTTTTACCGTTTAAGGTTTAAAATACAAGAAAATATTTAAAAAAGGTTTTAATTTGCGTTGAAAAACATCTTAGATAAACTCGACGGAAAATCTTAATTAGCAGTTTTAAATTCCAAGAATTTGGTATGTAAAAAATGCATTATTTTTACTTTATTTAAGTTAAACTACATATTTGCGAGGTCTTGCATCGAAAGTCTGGGCTGTTGTCAAAATAACGTCACAGTTCGTCTCTGTTAGTCGTGGTGAGTTCATTAAAAACTTTTGATTTTGTCATTGAGGAGTTCCTACGTTGAGCTGACATAATTTGTACTAAATGGAACAGTAAATTCGCCAAATTTTGATATTGGCCGATTTAATAGTCAGCTAATAAATATAAGACTTAAATTTTAGCAAAAAGGAATAGTTTTGAAAATATCTTTAAGCGGATGTCAACAAGTGAAATGATTCCATCACATTTTAGACAATGATAATTGCTATTAAACAGAAGTTAAAACAAAATTTTGTTGAATTCAATTAATTCACAAATCACATTATGAGGATGAATCTGGTATGGATTGCTCATATGTTGGGATATTGGTTTGGGTTTTCACCTATTAGCATAGGGACTTGCGCACACTAATCTTCTCTCAGTTTCGGAAGTGTCATCTCTGTCAGCTGTGCGTGTTGATGTTGATGTTTAGTGCTTTATATATAAGATTTTCTCCAATTGTTCAAATGTTCACAATCCAGTCATTTACGATTACTCAGCCAATACTTGTCTTCATACATATAGTCAAAGTGAGGAAGTCCTTTTCTTTTTATTTAAGTTAGCAATTTTCTGCAAAATGGAGATGAGGTCCGCTGCGGTTTTTCGATTTTCGTTTGTGCTGTTTTGCTATTAAAATAGAAATTAAGTTGTTCTTATGTGCTTCCTATGCGGTGTATTTAGGGTGGAAAAAATTGATTTTATTTCCATAAAGGCATTTCCAATGCGGATTCTTAAATTAATGTTTGCCATTCAGTTGCCGACATGGTGACAGAAAATTACTCTGCGAAACACGCAAAAATGAATCAAATTTGCCCCCGTAATATAGTCTGCCGTGTATTGAAGCAAATAACCATAAACTATGTCAAAATAATATAATTGTTAATATATTTAGGCAATAAGCACATTTTCGTGATAAATTTCTTATGAATGTGAGCAGTGTTGATTAAGTTTCTTACATATGCAGAGCTAATCTACCTCTGAATGTGTGACGTGACACGTTCTTATCATCAATGGCAATATATTTCCTAAAAAGTGATAAGTTTAAGATTAAAAAAATTTTAGTTTGTTTATTGAATCATTTGCCTAAAACTAGTCATCACAAAAACAATGCTTTGAGTGCCTGATAATTTTTGTCGCTTTGTAAACATGTGTGAATCGTATATAGTTCGGGCTGGAACACCAATTCATAAGGTTCATGGCGCAATGGAAAACTTCTGAACATTTCCTCTAGTAAGTTTGTAAAGTAAGAATTATATGAAAAGCATTAAATAAAACCAAGAAAAATAAATAAGAGATTAAAAATGCCTTATTAACTTTTGAAGTTGCGTTGTGTGGAGGTGCAGTGAAAACTCTTAGTTATTGATATGTCTCGTACAAGCCTAGAAATGTAGGATTTCCGACTTATTGTGATGGTCAACACTGCTGCCACTATTGTAATAGGTAAGCAACTGCCCTATTACAGTTTTAAAATTTATATCAATTAATGTTTGGATTTCTGTATAAGTTTAAAATTCAGTTAAATTTGCATTTCTGTTTTTACAGCAACTATCTTCAAGATAGTTTTTATGTATTGAAATAGAAACCTACTTTATTTTTGGTTTTTCGCAGAAGATTTAACCGTATTTTACGTTTACGTAGGCATTCAGGTGATGTTAACGCCTTATATAATTATTGATTTAATATAAATTTTACCGACTATGAACTCATACGGTACTTAATGATAGCCTTAATTCGTTTTATTTCGAGTTCATATTTGCCAAAACTATAACAGCTTGACTTACTATCTGTTATTGACAAGTTAACTTCAATTATATATTATTTATGTAGGATAGAATAAAGATATATTTATATTTCGTTTTTCTTCTATTACTAATATATCGATTGATGACTATTACTCAGCTGTTATACTATTACTATAGTACCAACAATATACTATTGCATTTAAGGACGATTTCAAAAGAGTTTGCTTCTTAAATCAAGTATTGTGATGGAATACAAATTCAGATAAAGAATTAAATTTTGCATTATATATATAAACTTTATATTACTCAAACGTTCCGCAGCATTTCTTCTGAGTTCCGGGTATCGCGATAAGTTGCAGTTTTATTTAGTGCCAGTAACTCATCAATATTGGTTTAATCCAATCGGTTATTTCGTTTAAACGATTATGGAATGAATACCGGAATCTTTTATTTTCACTTGGTAGGTGATATTCCCTAAGAATTTATTAAAACAAAAGATTTAATAAACTAATCAAGTAATTAAACTTAAAATGTTTCTGAGTAAATTGCAATAACTCTCAAGTTCTGTGATTGAGTAAGATGTGCTATTATTGATAGTAATAATAAGATGTGCTATAGTTGCAGTTTTCTTTTAAAATTTATATAAAATCATATAAAGTTTAGAAATTATAGAAAGAAAGAAACTCAATTGCACGTTACTGGAATATCCAGATATTTTGCTCCTGTAAATAAATTGAAAATATTCAAAGCATTCATTAATTTGTGGCTTAAGATTTTAGGATGTAATTAAAATAAATTTTAACGTATTCATATTTAACAATGAGCCTACTGTATACAGTTAAAAAATATCGTTCATTTGGTACATTTTATATAATTATTCACCCCCATTTTGAATCGCATGGGAATGGAAGTTTGTTCGCTATGCCCAAGTTTGCTATTCTGTATAATTTGGGAATGGGAGTTTTGGTTCCTGTTCCCAATTTTGCCCATGAATCGCATGGGAATGGAAGTTTTTTTTCCCAATTTTGCACAAACTCTTTCCCAAGCAAATTGTTTGGGAGACAAATTAAAAAAGTTTAATTTAATATGAAATTAATATAAAATTATTATTATAATAAAATTATTATTATAATAAAATTATTATTATAATAAAATTATTATTATAATAAAATTATTATTATAATAAATTTAATATTTTTTAATTCTTATTTTATTATTTTATCCACTCGGGTTGATTAGTTTTTCGAATATATTTTAATAAAATTATTATTATAATAAAAGTATTATTACAAATGGAATATATTTAAATTTTTATTTATTTATTTTATCCACTAGTGTTTTTTTCCACAAATTAAAGCGTTAACTATTGTTATTTAAAACAATAGAATAATGAAAGGACACCAAATCCGAGAATGAACGGGATTCCTGAAATAAGTTAATATATTTTTTGTAATTATGCGCAGGTGAAACATTGCTTTTTTTAATTCGAATTTTAGTTAAAACAATAATTTCAATTAACAAATAAGATATTTTACTTTGTTTTATTGTATATAAGAAAATAATAAATTATATACATATTTAAATAATAAAATAAATAAATAAAATAAAAATTTTCTATTATATACTTATAAAATATTCATTATATTCATTTCTGGTCATTTGTCCAGCAGACAAATATGTGATTTTTACATTTAAATCAACATATATACGCAATTCTTTTCTTTGTTTTGCTCATTTTCGCACTTTTCGTCATTAAAAAGTGCCATGGTTGCCAAAATTTAACAAAACAAATTTGAAACTGTTGTTGTTCCCAAAACTGCTGTCTCCCAAGCAATTCAGAATAAGGGAATTGTGTTTTTGGGAATAGGGAGTTTTGTGCCCTGGCAGTATTCAGAATTGCTATGATTAAGAATGATGGTGTTATATTGTATAATTTAGATATTTATTTATTCAAAAAACTCCAAGTTATTATTATTTCACAAGTTCCAAATAACTGACAGAATTAAAATATTAATTGTTCTTTATGTGTCATCTGTCATCTTGGCAGAGTTGCCAACACCTCCCCTTTTGAGATTAAATCTCCAATGCGGTGATTCTAGGGTCTATAACGGTCAATAGGATGTCTAGTACGCCTTGGTCGTGTATACGGAACAACTGCCTCATTGTGCTTCTCAGTTTGAGGGATTGCAATCTCGGTTATTTCGTTGAAAGATTGATCTGGAGTCGAAACCATGTTGTTGTTAGTTATTTCGACCACATCTTTAGGTGTTGTTTCGTAGAGGCCAAATGCATCAACTAAACACTTTTCGTTGGCGATATCTTCGGAAGTACATATTTCTAAAGATAACTTATTTTCTTGATCTTTTCGGTCACCGCACTTGTTTTTAAACTTGGCATTTGGGTCTGGTAAAGACACCAGCGTTGGTTTAATTAAGTCAAGTTTAATACGGATATTTCTTTTTAGTAAAACTTCAGCTGGCGATTTACTGTCCTCATTTTGCTTATTCGGAGTTGATCGGTAAACTTGTAGAAATGTTTGAAGATTTTCAGCAGTTACCCCCTTCCCATTTAACTTTTTGAGTGCTCGCTTTAAAGTATCCACAAACCTTTCGGCTTGTCCATTTGACATGGGATAGTACGGACTGCTTCGTATATGACTAATGCCGTTTTCCGCTAAAAACTGTTGAATTTGGTGACTCACAAATTGAGTACCATTGTCTGAAACTATTGTCTTCGGTAACCCAAATCTAGCGAAAATTTCTTTCAAGCTGGAAATTGTTTGAGTTGCTGTTATAGATTTTGTTTGTATAATTTCTGGCCATTTTGAGAACGCATCGATTACGACCAAATAGTAGTATGAATCTATTGCAGGATATGCAGGATAATCAATATGCAGCCGTTCCCAAGAATCAGAAGGTTTTGGCCAAGGATGTAAAGTTGTTTTTGTGGGCATTTTAGCTGCTGCGGCACAATTTGAACAACTTTTCACCATTGCTTCAATATCGTGATCGATATTTGACCAATAAACGTAGTTCCGCGCTATGGCTTTAGTACGACCTATGCCTTGATGACCTCGGTGAATTTCTTTAAGAATGCGCTTTCGGAAAATTTGAGGTATAATAATGCGTTGTCCGAACATTAAACATCCGTCAACTATACATATGTCGTTTTTTCGGTTAAAGTAAGCTTTTAACTCACTGTTGTTGCAGTTTGATGGCCATCCTTCAGTAACATATTCGAGAATTTTAGCTAAAACCTTGTCCTTAGCTGTTTCGTAAGTAATCATTTTGCTGGTAAGCGGCAGCTTATCAAGTGAGTTATGTAAAATTTGTTTACTTTCAATTTCAAACTCTACTGCAGCGATGACATAGTCTTCTGAAGGATTGATTGTGTTATGTATGAGTCGTGATAAAACGTCTGCATACCCAAAACTGTTAGTTGAAATAAACTTTAATTCGAAGTCATATGCAATCAGTTTAATTGCCCAACGTTGAAGTCTATTTGCTTGATGCACCTTAATTCCAGTTTTATCACCAAATATAGCTAGAAGAGGCTTATGATCTGTTTGAAGTTTGAATCTTCTCCCAAAAACCATTCTATGAAATTTCGTAACCGCGAAAATAAGCGCAAGAGCTTCTTTTTCTATTTGGCTATATTGTTTTTCTGTGGGCGTTAGTGATCTGGACGCATGACATATTACTTTCATTGAACCGTCGTCAGCTTCATGAAAAATGCAAGCTCCGAGCCCATAGTTAGATGCATCTGCAGCGACTACTATGTTTTTTAGTGGATCGTAATGCGCTAATAATAACTCTGATGACAAAATTTGCTTGAAACCATCTAAACAGCGTTGATGAAGTTCCGTCCATTGCCACTGCTTGTTGTTTTGAAGTAGTTCGTCTAATGGTCCTCGGTATTTGCGCATGTGATTTATGAATTTTCCATAAAAATTGATAGCACCTAAAAGTGATCTAAGTTCGGATTGATTGGTTGGCGCAGGCATTGTCTTGATTGCTTCAATGTTTTTTGGATCTGGCCGAATGCCGTCTTTACTGACAATATATCCCAAGTAAGCAATTTCAGGAACTGAAAAATTGCATTTTGCGATCTTGAGTTTGAACCCGTATTGATAAATACGTTGTAGAACTTCATGTAAGTTGTTGTCATGCTCTTGTTGGTTTCTACCTGAGACAAAGATATCGTCAATGTAAGCAGCTGCCAAATAACTGACAGAATTAAAATATTAATTGTTCTTTATGTGTCATCTGTCATCTTGGCAGAGTTGCCAACAGATGGAATCTTAATAACTTCTTGTTTTGTGAACGTTGGTGATATTGTTATCCCGTAGTCTACATTAGAGTACAAAGCGTCTGAAATCTGTTGAAACCTTACTTCGTTAAGTACATGTGCAATCATATCATTCCAGAAGTTTTTTGCGTACCATAGGATGTATTCATTATTTATTCACTATATTGATGTTGATGTAGTGGATGTTGAATGCCTGTGGGTTCTAGGAAATGTTATTAGTTGTCTTTCTACGAGAAGGTACTACGTCTACACTTCTTTTTATGGAGTGAGAAGACAGTCAAACTAAATATTTTTTGCAGCCCACTTATATTGGATTTGTGCGAATCTATAAAGAATCCTTAACTCAACTGGCGTCACTATGTCTTTGAGATTTTTATTTAAAATAAATGGTTTTTATTGTAACGGAGTTTCTAATAACGTTTATTATTATTTTTTATTCGAATATAAAACACTCATTCGAACTAATCTTTTAAAATTAAATCCTGTTGGACTTTATTTTATTTAAGGCAATCAATGCTGGTTTAAGATAGAAAGACAACTTTATTCTAAAATCTAGTTGATATACAATACATATAACGCCGGCTCCATTTCTCATACACTTCTGATAGCAAAGAAGTCCATTGATTGATTTTAAATTGCATGAATTACTGGCAACTATTAAAAGTTTAATTGCCATATAAAAATTCCATTCATGCATTTGTTATTTAGTGTTTAGTGTGCAAGACTGAGGCACAGAGTTTCGCACCATAAAATGTTGCATGCATCACAATTACTGGTCGTGGCTATAAGTGGAAGCACTCAATGACATCATTCAATTAAGATGCGCTCGAGTAAGGGTAATGTTTTCAATGCTCTGTTTGGAATATGTTGAACGCTTAATAAAAATGGATTTAATAAATATTGTATAAATATTATATTTAGGTATTATGAGACAGAAGCAACCAGTAATAGACGGCAGCAGTCAGCTAGCAATGCTGTGCGTATAAATTCAAATATATTGATTAATATACGCACAATTGGTTTATCAGACGATGTCAATATTATCGCCACATTTGTGGTGGTAAACAGGCACAATCGATATGTTCAGAGAGGGCGTCTATATTTTTTAATGCCTTTATGGACCCATCAATGTAATATATTCTATTTATAGTTTTGTATTTCCCCAATTAGTTTTCTTTAATTTGATGCTGAATACAAAGTATTTGTCGCATTGAAAATCAAACTGCAACCATATTTCAGAAGCCCGTAAGATCGACACTAATTTTTGAATGTCAATAGTCTGTCTTCTGAAACGATCTTTTGTATGTCACGTTGCCAAATCAATTTGAAATATGAGTGAAATGTTGTAAACGGACTACGAGGTGCGTCATTTTCGCCACACAATTTCATGTGTGTAAAATTTTTTATTTTTATTTTGGGTAGTCAAAATTATTGACCTAGGCGCTTTTGTTACGTTTATATTTTATTATATCTTCGGTGATTCAATAACAACAAAAAAAATTATTTATATTTTTCCAATATATACACCTAAATATGTCGGATCGTATATTTGTAAATGATTCAGAAAATTTTGGGAAAACATTTTATTTAGTCATGTTGTCTTTATAAAATAGTTTATATATAATACATCTCAATATGCAACTATGTTGCAAAACGATAGATAACGCATTCAATTTCTGGGTTCTTTGATCTGATTTGAGAGATACCGCATTTATAGCGAAATGCTACATAGATTTTGTTCAATAATTTTAACTGACAACAAACTTAAGAATTATTAAGGATTTCTATAATTTATGATGAATTGACTTCGATTCAATACTTGAATTTTCAATAAGAAAATTCTATAAATGAGAAAATTATTCTTTAATAATTTTATTTAGTGTTTAATTAAAATTATTAACAATTGTAGTCAGTGGGGCAGTTTCTTTTTAATGAAAGTGAAATAATTACAAAATAAAAAACAAAAACTGCAAAAAACAGGCATTTATCACTACAAAGTAGTACTGATCTTTTGAGATCGTTTTGCTAATATAGAAGAAGGTACTTTATTTGCACATTGTCTTTAAACAAACTCGAATAAAATAGTTTTAACAATAAATTATAAATTTTTAAATAATAAGTTTTATATTTGACAGTTTGGAACAAAATTATTTATTACGTTTATATTGTTTAATTTCTTCGTTGTAAGGATATTAACACTATTCTTTTATTAAAAAATTTTTTAAATGTAAAATAATAATAAGAGAATGATGCGATTGATATATTCCTCATTATTCAGACAACAACAAATTACATACTAAAACATAACTGGATGTTGGAAGTGAAGTTCCTTATTTACTGTAAAATTCGGACTCCCTCAGGACCTCCATCCATTTCGTTACATCTGCCGATAACGTCGGCTAGTTAACATTGTCTACCTATATTGGTTTTTGTCCACGTCGATGCCTTGTTTTTATCGGTTCAACAGCCCCGATCGGTTTCTTAATCTATTCTAACAGGTCCACATATAATTTAATAATCATAGTTCAATAATCTATCATTTGATAGATTAGAGTCCATTAGAACACTGAAGATAAGCAACCAATATTGAAATTCAGCTTTGTCTATTAACATTGTTGTTATGTTATTTATGTCTATATGAGTTATATCAATATATAAATAATACGTTTTTAATTTACGACAACCTGACTTTGTATTACAACTAATATTTACAGGTGTTAAATGTATACTACTTTATTTTATAACAATTGTCATTTCCTCTTAATATCTTAAAATACCTAGGCTTGCTTCTATTTGATTTTAAAACAACACACTTAACCGTTTTATTAATTTTCTGTAATATACTCAGTATTTCTCTCTTGATTGTACTTTATATACGCGGTTTCTCAGTGAGTGAATGGTATAATGTAAAGTAAAAATAAATAGGAGCATCGATAAACTGTCGTCCATTTTAACATTTGAGTTTATAGCGAAGTAGAGATGAGCAGAATTTTAATTTTAGAATCGAAAACAAATTCGTGCTCAAAGTAAAAAAAGTTTTATTTGTAATAAATAGTTTCTGACTATCGTCCTATCAGTATTCTTCCTTCTCTCTCTAAAGTGTGTGAGACTATAATGTCTGAACAAATTCGCAATAATCTAAACATTTTCCATTTGCTATCTTCTTATCAATCTGGTTTCAGAAAAGATCATAGTTCTGTGTCTGCCATGCTGAAAACCCTTGAAGATATTAGATTGAAATATGATAGCGATTTAGTTACTTACCTTTGTTTTCTTCATTTTTCAAAAGCATTTGACCGAGTTGATCATGCTTTGCTCTGTAAAAAACTCATAAATAAGTTTCACTTCTCCAGATTAGCTACTAAATTTACTTGAAGTTATTTAACTGAGAGATCGCACTCAGTTATTATTGACAATAACTTTTCAAATTTTGAACATCTGTTTTCTGGGGTTCTTCAAGGCTCGATTCTGGGTCATTGCCTTTTTCGATCTATATTAATGACGTTTTCTCAGTATGTCAATTCTCGAAGCTGAATGGATATGCTGAATGATATACAAATGTATCATTCGTGTCGAAGAAATCTTATACCAAAGATTTATATAGATTTAACATACATACATCGCTGGGCAGTTGAAAACAATATGCTGCTAAATGCAGATAGAACCATCATTTGCCGATTACTAGGTTCGAATTAAACTAAGACGAATTATCTCCTGTGGCTATTGGAAACTCAATTATTAAATATAGTGCATCAGTTAAATGCCTAGGATTTTCTTTGAATTCAAATTTACATGCATCTGATCATGTCAATCATGTCGTTGAAAATCCTTTATTTGCCGTAGATATTCGAATTTATCTGTTAAGTATACCCCAGTCGATGTGCATGGCATATTTGTCAAACAACTGATAATGCCTATAAATACTTATGAAGCGTTGCAGTATCCTAAACTTAACTCCGAGTCCCTTGCTAAATTGAGAATTGTAGTAAGCTGCAGTACTAGATACGTCTACAGTGTTAAACGGTTTGATCATCTAACAGTTTATAGGAATGCCATTCTGGGCTGTGACATTCAGCAGTATTTAAATATTCGAATCTGCTTATTTCTGTTTAAATTGACAACTACTAAATATCCGGAGTACCTTTATAATTGCTTGCAGCCTACTCGTTCCAACAGATCTCTTCTTTTTATAATTCCAAGATTTAATTTTGTTGCTACCACCAAGTTTTTCTTTATTCATTCAGTCCGATTATGAAACGTTCTGCCAAGCTCAACCAGAAATGCATGTAATTTTAGAGTTTTTAAAATGTTATTGTTAACTAAACTTATTTAAATATATAATTTTTATTTTAAATTCAATGTTAATTTCAATTTAATTTCTATATTTCTTTATCATTATATAATAATATTAATTTGAATTTGTAGCACACTAATATTTTAACACAATTTTATTATATTTTCTAATTTTTGTAATTTCTAAATAAATTATACTTGAAAGAATATATTGTTAGCTTTAAGGTTAGTTTTTAAGATAGTGCAATAAAAACCATGTACTCAATGCACTAAATATAAATAAATAAATAAAAAAAAATGAATAAATGTTATCGACTCTTTAATAGGATAATAAGAATTATAGGTATTAAACGAATTAGTTTTCAGTGAGTACTCTCCCATACCAGGTTTAGATTTTAAGCG